CCTTTGGATATATACCTAGGATTGCTGGATCATTTGGTAGTTCTATTTTTAGTTTTTTGAGAAGCATTCATACTGTTTTCCATAATGGCTCTACTAATTTACATTCCTATCAGCTGTGTATCTTTGTATTTTTTCCTTATCTTTCCTTATCTTTGGTCCTGAACTCCTAGCCTCAAGCAATTATCCTTCCTCAGTCTCCCAAAGTGCTGGAATTACAGGCATGAGTTACAGTGCCTGGCCTTGAGTTTATTTTTGTATATGGAGAGATTAGGGTCTAGTTTCATTCCTTTCACATGGATATCAGCTTTTCACATTACAATTTATTGAAGAGACTCTCCTTTTCCCAGTGAATGTCTTTAATGCCTTTGTTGAAAATCAGTTTGTTTTAAATAATTGGATTTATTTCTGGGTTTTCTATTCTGTTCTATTGATGTGTCTGCTTTTATGCTACTACCATGCTGTTTTCGTTACTATAACTTTGTAGTATATTTGAAGTCAGGTAGTGTAATGCTGCTAGCATTATTCTTTTTGCTGAGGATTAATTTGGTTATCCAGAGTCTTTTGTGGTTCCACATGAGCTTTAGAATTGTCTTTTAATATTTCTGTAAAGAAAGTCATTGGTATTTTGATAGCAATTGCATTGAATTTGTAGATTACGTTGAATAGTATGGTCATTTTAACAATATTAATTCTTCCATTCTACGAACATGAGATATCTTTCCATTAAAAAAAAATCCTCTTGAATTTCTTTCATCAGTGTTTTATTGTTTTCATTGTAGAAATCTTTTATCTCCTTGGTTAAATTTATTTCTAGTTTTCTTTTTTAAAGTAGCTATTGCAAATGTGATTGCTTGCTTGATTTCTTTTCAACTAGTTGGTTATTGGTATCTCTCTTATATCTTTCTTTTACTGTCTATCTCTCAAAAAGTTGTTATAGTAATTATTTTTGACAGGTTTGTCTTTTTATCTTCCTACTAAAGGTATGAGTAATTACAAACCACAATTATAGTATTAGAGTATTCTGTATGTGTCTGTTTACTTACCATTATCAATGATTGTTATGCTTCAGATTATTTCTTACTGTTGGTTAACATTTTTTTCTTTCAGATTGAAGAACTGTCTTTAACATTTCAGGTTCTCACTTTGTTGCCCAGGTTGGAGTGCAGAGGCAAAATCATGGCTCACTGCAGTCTTGATTTTCCTGGGCTTAGGTGATCCTTCTGTCTCAGTCTCCAAAGCAGCTGGGAGTATAGGCATGCAACACCATGACCAGCTAATTAAAACATTTTTTTTGTAGGGACAAGGTATTGTTATGTTGCCCAGACTGGTCTCAAACGCCTGGCTTCAAGCAATCCTCCTACATGGACCTCCCAAAACGTTGGGATTACAGATATGAGCTACTGCATCCAGCCTATTTAACATTCCTTATAAGACAGGTCTAGTGTTAATGAAAGTCCACAGTTTGGTTTTGTTTGTTTGTTTGTTTGGCAATGTCTTTATTTGTCCTTCTTGTCTTAAGGATAATTTTGTGTGTGTATAGTATTCTAGGTTTGAAAGTTTTTTGTTTTGTTTTGCATTTTGAATATGTCATTTTACTCTCTCCTGGTCTGTAAGGTTTCTGCTGAGATCTCTGCTGCCAGATGTAGCTCCTTTATATGTTATTTGCTTCTTTTCTCTTGCTGATTTTAGGATTCTTTCTTTATCCTTGACCATTGACAATTTAATATGTGCCTTGATGTAGTCTTATTGATTTTAATCATCTTGGTATTCTATAACCTTCTTGTACCTGGATATTCATCTCTTTCTCTAGGTTTAGAAAGTTCTCTGTTATACTTTCATTGAATAAACTTTCTATTCTGATCTCTCTTTGTATGTCCTCTTTAAAGCCAACAACTCAATAAACTTTTTGAGGCTACTTTCTATGTCTTGTAGGCATCTTTTTTTTTTTTTTGAGTCGGAGTCTTACTCTGTCACCCAGGCTTGGAGTGCACTGGCATGATCATGGTTTACTGCCTTTACCTTCTGGGCTCAGGTGATTTTTCCACCTCAGCCTTCCAAGTAGCTGGGACTACAGGCATGTGTTACCATGCCGAGCTGATTTCTTTAAAAAAATTTTTTGTAGAGGTGGGGTCTTGCTATGTTGCACAGACTAGTCTTGCCTTGGCTTCCTAAAGTGCTGGGATTATAGGTATAAGCCACCACACCCAGCTTTTTCATTTTTCATTTTTTTCCTTTTTTCTCTCCTATGACTGTGTATGTTCATATAATCTATCTTCAAACTCATTAATTCTTCTACTTGATTAATTCTGCTTTTGAGAAACTCTGATGCATTTTCGGTTTGCCAGTGGAATTTGTGTGTGTGTGTGTGTGTGTGTGCATGTGTATTTTTTTAAAGATGCGGAGTACAATTCAGGGTTAGTTATCCAAATGTTCATTTGAAGGTATCCTTGTTGATGAAGTGTGTCCCCTCTCCCCCGGCAGATTCCCACTATTGCCAATCCTCCCCCCGCCCCCGCCGGTAGTTTCCCACTACTGCCAATCCTTTTCTTACAGTTTTATGATAATTGTTCAAGGTCCGCTTATGAATGAGAACATGTGATACTTAGTTCTTTGTTTCTGTGATATATCACTCAGTATTATAGACTCTAAGTCTATCCAGGTTGCTGTGAAGTTCATGATTTTGTCCTTTATGGTTGAGTAATATTCCACTGTGTATATGTACCACTTTTTTTTTTGATGGGCAGCATGGCTGGTTCCATGTTCTTGCTATTGTGAAAAATGCTGCAATAAACATATGTGTGCAGGTATCTTTTTCATAGAGCGATTTGAGTTCTTCCGGGTATATTCCCGGTAATGGGATTGCAGGGTCCTATGGAAGGTCAATTTTTAGGTCTTTTAGGAATCACCATACTGTTTTCCACAGAGGCTGTACTAGTTTGCACTCCCACCAGCAGTGTAGAAGTGTTCCCTTTTTGCCACGTCCTCTCCAGCATCTGCTATTTTTTGAGTTATTGATGATGGCCATCCTGACTGGAATTAGGTGATATCTCAGTGTAGTTTTAATTTGCATTTCTTTGGTGACTAGTGAGGTTGAGCATTTTTTCATGTATCTGTTGGCTGCTTGTATGTCTTCTTTTGAGAAGTGTCTATTCATATTTTTTGCCCTTCCTATGACTGTGCATGTTCATATAATATATCTTCAAATTCATTAATTCTTCTACTTGATTAATTCTGCTTTTGAGAAACTTTGATGAATTTTCAGTTTGCAGTGAAAATTTTAGGTCCAGAATTTCTGCTTCAGTTTTAAAAAGATATTTCAATCTCTTTGTTAAATTGCTCTGATAGAATTCTGAATTTCTTCCCTGTGTTATTTTGATGCTTATTGAGCTTCCTCAAGACAGCTATTTTGAATTCTTTGTCTAAAAGGCCACATATTTCTGTCACTCTGGGATTGATCACTGGTGTCTTATTTAGTTCTGTTTTCCTGGATTTTTTTTGATGCCCTCAGACATTTGTTGATGTCTGGGCATTGAAAAGCTAGGTATTTACTCCAATCTTCTCAGTCTGGGCTTGTTGGTACCCATCATTCTTGAGAAAGCTTTCCAGGTATTCTCCTGTATTTGAGTATTGTCAATCTAAGCCTATGGTCATTACAGCCATATCGGCACTAGGGGACACCCTAGATCCAGGAACGCTGCAACTCTTATTGACTTCTAGAGGCACCACCTTGATGGGCTTGGGCAAGATAAGGGAGAATTTCCTGGGTTGCTAGGCAAAGTTTCTCACTGTCTTTTCTTTCTTTCCTCCAATCGGAAGGAGTTTCTCTCCTTGCTAGGCTGCCTGGAGTTGGGAGAGGGATGAAATGAGAACTCCCATGGCCACCACAGCTGGCACTGGACTAGGACACACCAGAAGCCAGCACAATACTGGGTTTGACCCAAAGCCCAAAGTGACTACTGCCTGGCTACCACTGATGTTTTTTTAATGCCCAAGTGCTCTTTAGTCAGCAAATGGTGAATCCTGCCATAATTGAGTCCTTCTCTTTAGGGCAGTAGATTCCCTTTTGGCCCAGGGTGGGTCTAGAAATACCATCCAGGAGCTAAGGGCTGGAATCAAGGACTTTAGGAATGGTGCTATATTTTACTGTGGCTGACCTGGTACAAGGGTTGCAAGACACAGTCCTCTATACTCTTCCCTTTCTTTTTCCTAAGTGAAAGAAATCTCAAATCTCTCCCCAAGTTGCTCTGCTGGAGCTGGGGGAGAGGTGATGCTGGTACTCCTTTGGCTGCTTCAGTAAGTTGCACTGGTTCACACACCCCCAAGACCAATGCCTCTGAGACCAGCACATGACTAGGGCTTGCCCAAGGATTGCAGTTCTTGTGGCCTACAGCCATTCAAGTTTATTCCGGGCTCAAGACCACTTTAGTCTGCTAGTGTTAAAGCCAGCTGTGATTTGGGTTCTTCCTGTTGGGCTGAGAATTTCCCTCTGGCTAGGTCTGGTCTAAATGCTCCCTCTGTGGGTGCTAGAAAACTTCTACTTGGTATTGTGTTCCACTGTGACAGGGCAACACTGAGTTTTAATGCAAAGACCCACACTCACTTTACACTTCCTCCCCAAAGCATACAAATTCTCCATGTGGTGCTGAGAGGTGATGGGGAGGGGTGCTGTAGACATTGCAAGACTGCCTTTCCTATTGTCGTCAATGCCTCTGTCCTTGGTATTGTGTTAAACACAGGTGCTATGATTGCTCACCTAATTTTTGGGTTCTTATGAAAGTGCTTTCTTGTATGAATTGTTGTTCAATTTGATGTTTCTGTACGGGGACAATTGCTGGAGAGCTCTATTTGGCCATCTTGCTCTACCTCCCTTTTGCCCATAGTATTTTTTTGTAACTGTTAAAACCTGGCTCATGGTCAAGTTTTTCTTGTATGTCAACTTATTGAGATTCTTTTGTTTCATATACCAGCAGTGATAAAAAAATACTTTCTCTTTTTTCTAGGAGAGCATATAGATTATTGTGGATATTCTGTTCTTCCTATGGCTGTAGAACAAGATATGCTAATAGCTGTGGAACCTGTGAAAACACACACTCTCCAACTGGCCAATACAAATCCCTTGTATCCGTGAGTATTTGGAATTGCTAATGTGTGTCTGTGTGTGTGTGTGTGTGTGTGTGTGTGTGTGTGTGTGTGTGTGTGGGTATTGTTTGTACTCTTTAGAAGACATCCCATTTATAATAAATCATTTAATTTATTGATATTTTTACCTGACCTTAAAAAATTTAATGTGGGTATGGTATATATATATATATATATATATATATATATATATATATATATTTTTTTTTTTTTTTTTTTTTTTTTTTTTTTTTTTTTAAGTTGGGATCTCAGTCTGTTGCCCAGCCTAGAGTGCAGTGGCACAGTCACAGCTCACCGAAGCCTTGATCTCCTGGGTTCAGGAAGTCCTTCTGCTTTAGCCTCCTGAGTAACTGGGACTACAGGCACATGCCACCATATCTGGCTAATTTTTTTTGTGGAGATGAAGTCTCACTATGTTGCCTAGGCTGCTCTTGAATTCCTGGCTCAAGGAATCCACCCACCTTGGTCTCCCAAAGCATTGGGATTACAAGCGTGAGCCACTATGCTCGGCCAAATACCACTATTTAATGTTTGTTCATTTATACACTCATTTAAGAAAAGTTTACCAAGGATTTATCAGGCGCTAGATAAATTCTTACATACTGAGAGATAACTCTGGCCTCATCAAGAAGATATTTATCACCTATTAATCTATTTCTAGCATTTTCAGGTCTGGTGTTTTTCTGTGTTGCTATGACACCTTCTAATTCTCTTTTCATAGCATCTTACTATGCTGTATTGTAATTCTCTGTTTACTTTTTTTTTTTTTTTTTGAGTTGGAGTATCACTCTGTTGCCCAGATTGGAGTGCAGTGGCCGCTCCCGGCCACCGCAACCTCCACCTGCCGGACTCCGGTGATCCTTCCGCCTCAGCCTTCCAAGTAGCTGGAACTACAGGCATGTGCTACCATGCCTGGCTGAGTTTTGATTAACTGTAGAGATGAGGTCTCGCCAAGTTCCCCGGGTGGGCCTCGAACCTGTGGGCTCAGGCAATCCACTCACCTTAGCCTCCCAAAGCGCAGGATTACAGGCTGAGCCACCGAGCCCGGCTATTCTCTGTTTACTAACCGGTGTTGCCCAGTATATTTTAAGCTTGGTGACTTTAGGCACTATTGTTTCTCTTCTTCAATGCTCTAGCCTCAGTGTAAAGCAGAGTCTGGTGCATAATAGATGTAAGTTTCTAGTACTTATGTTTTATCGAGTCAAGGAAATTTTTTTTTTTTTTGAGTTGGAGTCTCACTCTGTCGCTCAGATTGGAGTGCCGTGGCCGCTCCCGGCCACCGCAACCTCAACCTGCCGTGCTCTGATGATCCTTCGCCTCAGCCTTCCGAGTAGCTGGAATTACAGACGTGCGCTACCACGCCCAGCTGATTTTTTGATTTATTGTAGAGATGAGGTCTCGCCAAGTTGTCCAGGCGGGTCACGAACCCGCGAGCTCAGGCAATCCACTCACCTCAGCCTCCCAAAGCGCTGGGATTACAGGCTGAGCCACCGAGCCCGGCTAAGGAAGTTTTTTTTAACCTTTACTTTTTTTATTTTAAAGGTGTGGGGTACAATTCAGGGTTAGGTATACAAATGTTCAGTTTACTGGAATTTTACAAATTTATTAATGGGTATTGAACTTTATTAAATGTCTAGTATTGGAGAGGACTTGTATAAATTGTCTATTTAGCTTTTTAAAAATATGATGAATTGCTATGATGGGTTTTCTAATGCTGAAACATCTTTGTATTCTCAGAATAAACTGTACTTGTGTATAATGAATTATAATAGATTTGATTTGCTGATCACAAAAAAAAGAATTTAGCTTATAGTTGGCATATTATATTTTTTGGCTTGTTCATTGGACAATTTGCCTACAATAATGTTCATTTATTTAGAAAATATTTTTAATAAGGCACTATACCAAGTTGTACAAGATACAGTTTTTTTACTTTTATATGAAACTTATTGATTAAAGTCTTTTTTCCTTTCCATTTTGTATGGTTGATAATATATATCTTATTGTTCATTTTGGGTCCTTTAAAGAAAATTGTACGTTATCTCTAACACATTTTTATGTCATTGTAAACATTTGAAAATGAGTGAATAATATTTTGTCACATTGATTTACTAAAATTAACTTAACCATTCCCACAAAAATGAATATATGGTTTCAGTTTCATCTTTCACAAAAGCAGAGCCTGAGACAGATCTGGATGAAGTTAGAGTATTTGGGAAACAGTCTCAGGAGTGGTAGGAAAGAGCATGAAGAACGTGTTATGGAGTTGGAGGTGAACTATCAGGGTAGATAGCCACTGCTGCAGGCAAAGGACTTGATTCTATCAGGACCTCTAGGAAGCATGCAGTATGCCTCTTAGAGTTGTCCACCTATTTATAGCTTTCATTGCATGGATATACAAAAATTTGTTTATCGATTTGCCATCAGTAGACATTTGGATCATTCCCAGTTTTTGGCTGTTATGAATAATTATGCTATAAACATTTTTTTGCAAATATAGGTTAGTAAATACCTAGAGGTGGAATGTCTGATTTACCTTTTTAATGAATTTCCTGTTTCCAAAGTAGCTGTACCATTTTAAAATTTCCATCAGCAGCATGTGAGAGTTATGATTGCTCAACACCCTTGCTAACATGTCTTTAAAAATTTTAACCAATCTCATAAATGTGTAGTAATATTGCATTTTTGTTTTTAATTTTTCAAACTTTTGATATTGGACATTCTTCATGTTCTTATTTGCTATCTTCATATATTATTTGTTGAAGGGTCTTTTCAAATCTTTTGACTGTTTTAAGTTTTTTTCTATCTTCCATTATTGACATGTAAGAGTTTCATATGTATTTTAGATACAAGTCTTTGTCAGATATATGCTTTGCAAATATTTTCATCCAGTCTGTAGCTTAGATTTTCTTTTTCTTGATAATGTCTTTTGAGGAAGAAAAGTTTTTTTGATGAAGTCATGTTGGTATTTTTTCTTTCACAGTTTGTACTTTTTGATTGTATTCAATAAACCTTTACCAAAACCAAGATCACTAAAAACAATTTCCCCTATTTTCTTCTAAAAGCTTTATACTTTTAGTTCTTACATTTAATTTTGTAATCCATTGTGAGTTTTTTTTTTTTTTTTGGTATGTGACATGACAAAAGGATTGAGATTTATTTGTTTATATATTTACTACTAATGTATTTATGTATTTATTTATTTATAGGGTTAGAGTCTCACTCTGTCACCCAGGCTGGAATGCAGTGGCATGCTCACGGCCACCACAGCCTCGATCTGCTGGGTTCAGGTGATCCTTTCGCCTCAGTCTTCCAAGTAGCTGGACTACAGGCGCGCACCACCACACTTGGCTTATTTTTTATTTATTATAGAGACGAGGTCTCACCAAGTGCCCAGGCTGGTCTCGAGCACCTGAGCTCAGGCAATCCTCTCGCCTTGGCCTCTCAAAGTGCTGGAATTACAGTCTTGAGCCACCGCGCCCGGCCTGAGATTTATTTATTTTTGCAAGTATATATCCAGTTGTTTCCCATTTATTGGAAAGATTATCTTTTCTCATTGAATTGACTTGACACCTTTGTCAAAAATTAATTGGTAGTATATGTGTGAGTCTATTTCTGAACTTATTCTATTTCATTGACCTATTTGTCTACCTTTATGTCAGTCACACTACTTGGTAATTTTAGTTTTTTTTAAAGCAAATAGCAAACACATTTTTATGCAATATTTTAAAAATATACTTTGTGGCAACTTATAAAAACATTTCTATTATAATAAATTGATACTTTGAACCAAGAGAATAATATAACCAAAAATCCATTTGCACCCTTTGTTTAGGGGTAGTTCACGTTTCTTTTCCTTATTTATTTATTTATTTTTTGGCCTAGAGAAGCAGTGACCTCTGGAGTCACGGTAACCGTGGTAGTTCACATTTATGCTTAATTTTGCTTTAAAAAAGATGACTGCTATAATCAGGTATAGAACCACTTAGTTATGTCTACATTCTGTCTGTTAGAAATATGTTCTTTTAGAGAATCCAACTTACTATCCAATCTTATTCTTTACTTCACTGCTTTTCTCCAAGCAGTGGTAGCAGTACTCTTCAATGGACGGAATGCAGATAACTGTTCTGATTACAGCCAGGTCATGCTATATTTGCAATACAGGCAGGCCCCATGGGCGTCCAGCTCTAAAATGTGTCAAGTTGGCCCAGTTTAGAAAGTGACAACGAGGTGGTAATAAATGATAGTACTGATTGTTATCAAAAATTAACAATTTTAGATATCTTTGTTCTGGGTTTCTGCAGTTTAGGTTCATCTATTTCTTTATAGTCTGCACTCATTCCTTTTGCCCAGCGACCAACTGTGACTGTTCGATCTGAACTCTGACTTTCAGGGCAGTCTTTCTTAAAGTGTTCCACAGAGCCACAGAGTCGGCAACCACCACCATCAGCATAGAGTCCTTTGGGATTTTCAGGACAAGATCTTGACAGGTGCCCCATTTCCCCACAAACAAAACATTTTGCAAAAGGAAATTCACCAAGAGCTGGGTCTACTTTGGCCTTACACTTGGTTATCTCGTGCTCTGTGGATCGACACCGATAACAAATCCCAGTGCCCATATCTTGATTTTCAAGGGCAGCTGGGCAATCTGCAACTCCATGACCAGGTTTTCTCCAATGGAAACACACCATTGCATTTTTCTTTGCTGCTTGTCTTTTCAGTCGTCTTCCTTCCTGCCGACTTTCTTTAAAGCCACCACAATTTCTTCCCTTACTTACTGTCTGTCTGTTGCTATAATCTCCCTACAGTGAGCCATCTGTGAGTTCTCTCAGGTATTCCAAGAAACCATTCACATCTTCACTTAAGTGCCCTTTTTTCTTTTTGTTCTTTTATTGTTTTGCTTGGGGTGCTGCATTTTTAAGGGAGGGCCGACTGGCTTCAGGTTGTTCACACTTCAGTAGGTTCTGGCTTTTTTCCTCAAAGGA